GGAATATACTTAGCCAAATACAAAATTTGTATCTTGCAGCTTAATTTGTACCCACTGGCTTGATTATCGACGAAGAATCGCGTGAAGTACTTTCTATGTTGTCCATAACTTCAATCAGGTCTTTCCTATTTTCATAAACTGTATGAACACCTCGTGACTGAAAATTCCAACGTGTTTGGGAAGATCTTGGCAATCTGCGATTAACTATTTCATCCAAAATGTTTGTTCTTTGAGGAGACGTCGAAAAAAAAGAGCACAATCCAGATAAATTATGGAAAAATATTCTAGCCTGCTTATTGACAGAGCATGCGCTTGTCATAATTAGATTTAACTGGTGTGCATAGCAATGAACATAATTTGCAAGTGGATAAGTTTCCTTAATAATTTTTTGAACGCCATTCAATTCACCACTCATAACAGACGCACCATCATAGCTTTGAGCTATTAATTTGTTTGGATTTTGATCTAGTAATGGATTTACAACATTTAAAACGCATGCAGCGATTGATTTGGCATCGTGTCCGTCGGGGACGTAAAATCTCCAAAATCTCTCAACTGGTTGTCCTTTACACAAATATCTGAAAATAATAACTAACTGAAATTCACAGGCTACGTCAGTCGTTTCATCGGCAATTACTGCAACAAAAGGAGAATTTGCAATCTCCTTCTTAACTTCTTCATGATAAACATCTAGCATGCACTCAAGAAGCTCGTTTTGAGTTGTTTTTGAGGTACCCTTGAAAAGTTTGGCACTTTGAATATGGACTTTCAATTCGTTGTCTAATTCGGCGCTAAAATCACCAGCTCCTTAAATATGCCTCTGTTTTCGAATTTTCCTTTTCAATCGTGACCCCTTAAGGCTAACTCAAATGCTCCACAAAACCTATACAATTAATAATTTTATTCACATGCATATCGATTCTTATCCACTTGATTATTATGTTTAATTAGATCATTGCGATAAGCCGAATTGAGTTGAGTCCTTATATTAATTACCAAGAATAGAAAAGCTAAAAACATTATTCATATGGACTTTAGATTTTTCGTGGGTCTTCATTTTTATCCCATATATGTATAAGATCATCTGTACCTTTTTTGACCAAGTCTCGTCACCTCCAAATAGAACACATACAAAACAAAATAGTTTATTCGTTTCTTCACAACCACATATTCAGCTGTTTTATCGTACACATTTTTATTAAATTTTCGACAGCGCGATTTTTGTCCGCTACCACTTTGTTTCTCAATTTTTAAATCGGGGTATTGGCCGTCCTAATTCTTTTAATTTGCAGTTTTTGATCCAGCGAAAAACCACTAATGAGTTTTTTAATATCCCGATTTTATTCATTTTCACTAGTTTTAATAAAACAGTAAAAAATATGATCACAAAACAGAGCAGTTCATTAACACTAGACGTACTAAAACAAAACGTTATTTCTCACTTTTCAGGTAAAAAGACCGAAATCAGCACTAGACGTAATCATAACGAAACGACCGACCGAACAAAACACCGCCGATATCATTTGATAACGAATTACGACTGATGATGTGCCTGGCACAAATTATACTTGTCTTTCGCTATTCACCTCATATAAAAATGTGTATGTAGCGTTATCTCTGTCGCTCGTATGCGATGCTGGTAAATTTCTCTCTTTTTATTTGGGCCGCCCGAAATTGGCACAAATTGATGACGTCAAGGTCAAGGCATGCTTTCCATCTCGTCGCGTGGTTCGGGTGCTTGCGGTGTTGTCACGTTGTCAGTGTTGTCACTTCATATAATTTATACCAAAAAAAATGAAAAAGCAAAAAAATAAAGTAAAACATTGAAGATTGAAAAAAATATTCTTTTTGAAGAAGACAAGGTAGTGCCATGGCACCGTGGCACTACCTCACGAGCCGCCACTGATTGCAAGTAGTGAATAAACAGCATCAATGTTGCTGTTAATCCCGCAGATGTTCGAAAAACAAAGCTAGAGGGTGGTACTGCCTCGGTCGACTGGTCCTTGTCTACCACCTTCTTTTTGCGTGTTAATGATATTAAGGAGACATAAAGTGGCCCGTTGGCGGACTTGTACCGCCACCCGGCAATCAGTACTGAGGTATTCCTTAACGCGTGTACAATAACTTGAACGGCAAGAAATTGTATACTCGATACAACAACTTCCGGAACAAACATTTGCCACGGCCCCGCTCAATAGGGGGGCTGCCGATTCTGGTGCTAACAAACTAGAAATATAGCTTTCGTTCATCAGACCACAGACGGCCAACCATGAACAGCTGTTTCGTGCCATTTGGCAGCTCGTCAGCGGCTGGCATTTATTCAACATACATTTAAAGGCTAGTCATATACGTAGTAGTATGATTCACGTTCCTAGTTTAAAAAGGAATTTGCATCCTCAGTCTTCAACTCACTGCATATCATCAATTTAAAAATGGCAAAAAATCCAAATATTTAGAATGTACAAAGCGGAGGAAAAAACTTTGATCCTTATTTCTTGTTGGTTTTATTAAATTTAGAAGCTTTTTCAAAGTTTGTCGAACTTGGCCGCGAGTATTATATAACAAAACACGACAAACTGTTATAGCTAATTAGTTAATAATACATTGTATATTTCCATTTTTATTGAATCACACAACTAAATAGAGATTCTCGAATGTTTCAAAATCTGCAAGATCAGCTTCATCGCAACAACATAAATATTGTACTTAAAATCTTAACAATTACGTGAGCAAAATAAAACTTATTGGAATTAAAGATATAAATGTATGTATATCACAATTTTCAAAACACCATGTATACTCCATATATTACTAACTATGGATCAGAGTTCAATCAGTTTAGGACATAAGGAATGTTTATAATTTATTATGAACAAAACATGCTTTAATCAGATTAATTTACCTCAAAAAAGTATTTCAAAGTAATCTTCTGCAGAGTGTACCTTAAGAATACCGCTGTACCAAAGTGAAGCACATTTGCCATTATCGAGAACTAAAAAAGATTCGATATTCTTTGTGCTGATTAAACTCACGTTTGTCTTTCGAAACAATCTACACCCGTTTGTTCAATAAATAAATACTGGAACGTACAATTTTCTTGACCAAGGCTGCCCTGTTAAACATTACTGTCGGCTTCTTTCGTTTTTGTCCAATTCATGATCTTGGGTGTTATGGCATCCATAGTCGCTTCCAATGGCCTGGAAGCAAACCGTTCTGCAGATATGGGCTATCTCACTGGTGTCTCTACCTCTGGTTTCTGGTAGATAGAATCTAAGATAAACATACAGGTTAAATCGTCATCACGTATAATACTTCAACTAGAAATGGCTAACGAGTTTGTTGACCTTTTTTGGGAAAAATCACATATCTAAAAACAATTATCAAACTCCTCACTTTAGATTTTCGTCGATCTATTTTGGCAGCTCTACATAGCGGTAAGGAAGTCTCCATTTTACTCATGTATATCACGTCATATTGGTTCATCGTGTTTTGATCCTCAGTACATAACTTTCACTGCTTTTTAGGAAAGAACATGCCATATAGTAATACCTACTCACGAATAGGTATAATGTAAGCGATATACAGCAAAAATGAAAACCAAGCTGCCCCAATATAGACCTTCAGTATGGGGTAAAGAAAGACCTAACGATGAAATTGCCTCCCCAGTTGAACATACTGCCCAATGCCATGGCGCTTGATCTAGCTCCTACCTCAAATAGTTCTGATCCGATAAAGTAGGGAATCGGCCCCAAACCTACACCATAGCATATGACGAAGCCTAAAAGACCGATTGTGCTTACGTAAGCCACCCATGAGAAAAATTGCTGGAACAGAATGCGTACGTTAGGTCTACAAAACACTTACAGTTCAGTAATATCGCAAATTTAAATAAAAGCTACTCTGCTAAAGTATTTTCTTTATCGTAAATATATACTTTTACAATCTTCAAGCAAAATGTAAAATTCTGTAATTTTTTATATTGATTACTTCTATGGAAACAGCAACGTCAAATGATACTTACAATGTAAATTAGCCCCAATCCCAAGACAATAAGGGATGCAATAGATGTTTCTAAGCCTGAACAACATGCATTTGCGTCGGTCTACGTTTTGACATTAGAGGTATAGATATCACAGCCATTGCAAAGTTGAATATTCCAGCGCCTATTGTTGCTAATTCGGCAGCTGTACTTGTTAATCCGCAGCTTTAAAACTGTCAGTCGAATAGTAGAATACCTGAATACAACTTGATGGAAGTTATCATTTTTTGATGTACATTAGCAAGAGCAAAAATCTTCTATATATTTAAAATCAGGATAATACGCATGGGGATCATCAATAACTGTGGGAGATACAGCTTAGGTTAAATTAGAGAAGAGCTGAGTTCTTTGTGGAATATCTACATGCCCCTGAGAAACTTACAAAAATTTCATTGCTTACTGAGGTATTTGAAAAAAACTAAAATTTGGCTTAATCATTTTATTTTTGTCTAACTTTATTTTAAGGAATATCAAAAAAATAATGGAACTTTCTCATGGACACTTTTTAACCACTACATGATGGTGTTTTTAAATTTTGTGCCCGACGTTTCGTTTTTGAGAAACCAACATCAACTTTATTTTTCTATATGGTCCGAAAAAAGTTCACCTTATGTCTGATAGCATCTTGTTCTACGAATTCAATGATGTTTCACATGTTACTTTTGTTTTCATTTTTATTATTTTATTTATTTTTTTATATAAGTAGATGCATATTACATATTACATAATGAAGTAAATATTTAGAATATGATGCTTAATCTAGTGATATTCAGAATAACGAATACATTTTGAACATTATTTTTATTTTATTCACAATAGGTGTTTAATAGGTTGCCATTATTTTCTAAACATAAGTATGTTCTTCTAGCAGTAGAATTCAAAACATTACGTAGAAGTTCTGGTGTAATCTTAGTAAATGCTTCCGTTACACATTCTCGTAAATGCTGTCCAGCTCCAAAAGTTTGCTGATAAACTTGGTTTTTAATAAAACCCCAAGCAAGAAAGTCCAGATTAGTTAAATCCGTGTAACGCGCTGGCCAGGGCACTTCACTGGTGGTTCCAATTCACCTTCCGGGAATCGCTGAGAAAGATACTCTCGAACTACACGCAGGAGCACCGTCTTGTTGAAACCAACAGCTATGCCAAAGGTAAATTATCCGAGCAGTCTTCTAGATCATGTTGCAACAATTGAAGGTTACCGTTCTGCAGTTAATGAGTTGTCGTAAATAAATGGAACTAATATTGGTGACCCTAGAATTCCTCACCACATATTAAACCTAAAACGTTCTTGATGTCTGGATACTTTTTTTCAGCCCGCATTTTCTTGAGCCAGTAATGTGGTGGTTAAACATACCATTATTAGTGACCATACCTCGTTGGATCATATTATTTTTTAATGGAAATTAGAATCTTCTTCACACGTTCGAGTGTACCACTCACAAAAATGCTGGCGCCGTTCGCTATCCTCTGGTCTAAGTCGTTGGCTAATCCTCAATTTATAGGGGTGATATCTATTTTTACGCAGAATAAATTGACTGTGGATTTGGCTACTCCTACATTAATCTCAATGTGCCCAGTTGATATCTCCTAGTTCTCAGCAGTTCCTTATAAAAGTTTCGTCTAAAGTTTCCTTTTTTCGAGACGTAACAGGCTTTTTGGAAGAACCATATTCATTTAAATTTCATGCCAACTCTGAGAAAATAATGGACTTCTGGTAGCCTTCTTTATCGAGATTCATTAATGCAGTATTTTAGTATTTTTGTAGCACATAATGTACCACATCAGCATGACGAACTTTTCTTCATTGCTAAAATCACCGCCTGGAATGTTTGATGATAATATATAATAATAAAACAATATTAACAATTCTCAATAATAGCACTACTCAGTGACAGGTATTTACGTCAAGTCAAGCATTTGTTTGCAACGACTACTAAAAAAAAAATTAAAAAAAACAGAAAAATAGTATTTTTTCTTATAACCAAGAAAGTAAATGTAACATGTGATACATAAAAAAAAAACACCATCATATAGTGCCCAAAAAGTGAGAGTGAAAAATTTTACATTAGGTTTTTGATATTTCTTAAATAAAGTTAGAAAAAAAATTGAAATAATTTGGCCAAATTTTAGTTTTCCCAAATATCTGTCCGCCATGAAATGTTTACAAGTTTCTCAACGGCCATTTAAATACGCCCCAACGAATGCAAGTCTTTCCTAATTTAACTAGGCTGTATCTCCAACAGATTATGAGATCCTCATGCATAGGATCCTTATCTTAGAGACCCTGTATAAATGTGAATGTCTGTCCGGTCTGTTGGCATCACGTCTGTACCACAATACGGATAGGCGTAAGAATTTCTAAACTTGCTAACTGAAACCCGAGTTAATTTATCCCCGAAAATGTTCAAAAGTATGCATAGACCAAATATCTCGAAAAATACGTTTCCTAGAGGAAAATGTAGAACAAAGTTGTAAGGTTTGGTGGACTTGAACGTTGACCTTGACTATGACCCTCAATGACATTTGAAGGTCAATACAGTTTTGTTAAATGAAACCCCTATTTTTGAAATCGAAAATGTAAAGAAATTTTACTCAAAATTGACCATGATCTTCATGGGTTTTTGAGGGTGTCCAGAAAGTAGAGAAAAGACAACATGGGTGGCGAGCACGAACCGAGAGGATCCAACACTCAGTTAGTTTGTTGCTGGAAGTAAATATATGAAAGTCATGGGAAAATTAACTCCATACAGTTGTGTCGCTTCAGTATTAAGAATATTATATCATGATTCAAACATGGAACTCCTGAAGTTGACAATTTCATATTTTCAGCAATTTACTCAGTTACTCTTAGTTGGTGCTCGCTGCCCAATATCCTGAAAAATGCGTTCATAAAGAAAAATGTAGCATAATAAAGTTGTATGGTTGGATAATGGCTTTCTTGAGTGAAAATTTGGCACCGGAAATGAAAATGAAAATTCATTTTGAAGTATGTCAATGATCTTGACTATGACCAACAAGGTCATGTGTAGATCAAGTTTTTAACATGAATCATCTATTTTTAACTCCTGAAATGCTAATTGCGGAAAGCATGTCCTTGGCAATGAAACTAACTATGATCTTCCAGGTCATTTTAAGAGCAGATAAGTCTTCAAGCAAACTCGACGACGAATAAAAAAGCGAAACATTGAAATTAATTTATTGTTGCATTAAAACAGATGTTCATTGCCAAAGTAACTATTGAATTACTTTAAATATTGGGATTCTTTTTCCAAAATCCATCTTCTTCACACTGATGCGAAACGCATGACCAATACTTCACACTACTTCCACGCGACCGCAGTCATGGGTTTAGTCTAGTTCAGAATAAAGTTCATCAGTATCGTTGATCAGTACGTAGCGCTATTTGCTGAGTTTACATATACGTAAACGTTTGCCTTAAAATAGTTTAGCTTGCCTTGTCTCTATGTTAGCTTGTTGGTAATAAAGTCACTTATTAATTATGTAAATGTAGATAAGGCAATAGAGATCCTTATGTTTTGAAGAACGCGACGAATATCATATCTGTCACGATGCTTGTGCATTTTAGTTGATTTACAAAAGCTCTGAACGAAACATGCTTAATTTACTCGGTTGTCCATAAATTCTTTTCTCTGGATATTGATTTTGTTAATATTCTTTTTTTAAAATAAATTTATCCAAACTAACCGCATTTATTCCACTGAATTGTTGCCCTGCTTGTAAAGAGCAAACCAACGTGAGAGGTAGTAACAGAGAACGATCCGTTATCACTTTTCCCAACCCAATGCTGACTCCTGCATTTTTCCTGTTTTCGTCTGCTTCAATTTTCAGACTCTCTATTTCGTCTATCAACAACTCCTTTTGTACTCCACGAATCACTTGCAATTCTGTAAACATGAAACAACAAGCAACGAGATGTGAGAAAGCAAAAATACGCCTCGATATAAATTTGATCAAGTGATCTCATAAAAATTACAAGAATTCTCGTTTCCCAGATATAGTCTGACTGGATGATAAATAAGCTTTCCAAGAATGTTCAACAAAATACTTGGCATAACGAGCTCTCCCACATTTAAGAAATTAACTAAATATTGTTCTGGTGTGACACTATTCAAATATAACACCAAATAAATAGCTTCTTATAACATTTCATAACTCACCTTTCAAGGCAGCTTGTGGTTGGTTTTTTACAACAAACAAAAACTTTGGGCTTTCTGGTAGTAATGGCAGAACGAAAATGGAAATAAAAGTCGGCAATGCGTAAATAGCTAAACAGTGAGGCCAATAGTCCTCGTTCCCTAAAAAATACAAAATCCTAGTATAATAAAGTATTCAATTAATATTTGTGAATATCGAACCTAGTAAACTATTCATGGATAACACTTGTCCAGATAGTACGCCCAAATGTTAATCCTAAGGGGCATAGGCCACCCATTGCTCCTTTCAGTCTTAGAGGTGCCAACTCTGTTAAGTACATTGGCATGACGCAGGTAGTTAAACCTGAAACAATTATAAAGTGACATATCGTACCCATCCAAAAATTAAAAAAAATAGTGATATACTTCTAGTAAATGTTTTATTACTCCTGATAATTGCAGACTGCTTATAGATGAGCGGATCAAAATAAAATAAAAAAATATACATAATAGATAAAGAGAAAAAGCATTATGAAAAAAAGTGCATGTATTCAGTCTCTGACACTATATGGCTCTATATTAACTAAGTGCCATCTGACCAAAAATTTCAGATTTGCGTAATATGTAGTCTTTTCAGTTAAAGTTAGTCTATGCCTAGGATAATGTACATTTAAATTTATTGTGTTGTATGATACACTGGTAGGTCAAACATATCTCTATGCTTAAAAAAAGAAAATCAAGCATTCATATACCTATGTATAGTCCATATGTCAAAACGCCATTGGATCTAAAAGTACCTTTACGAGGGTGGTCTGAACAGTTTCCGACCTTAACGTTAAGATTGCAGCAATCGTAAATAAGAACTAGTGAATTTCGTTGTTCATCTGTTGACAATTCCTCGTCAAAGTTTAAGCCATTTTGGACGCGCAGTTTAGTGAGTTGATGTGTTTTTATAAAAATGGTCAAAATTGAGTATCGAGCTGTCATTAAATATTTGTTTTTGAAAGGCAATTCGCCTATGCAAGTCAAAGATGAGTTGGATTCTGTGTATGGGGACTCTGCACCATCATTTACCACAGTGAAATTTTGGTCGTAAGAGCCACCAAATAGTGCTAGACGACCGCCGAATTAAAGTGAGAGACTTAGCACAGGTTATGAACATGTGAAAAAAACATGTTTGTCACATATTAAATCAACATTTAGGCATTCGAAAGCTGCCCGCGCGTTGGATGCCACGTATGCTCACGTTAGACCAAAAACGTGTTCATATGAACATTTAGCAGTTTAGGCGCAATAAATCCGAGTTTTGGCGCCGATTAATTACTGAAGATGAAACTTGGATACACTATTATACGCCCGAAACAAAAATACAGTCCAAACAGTGGACTGCAAAGGGGGAACCGACTCCAAAAAAAAAAAGACGTTTTTCAAAAAGGACAAACCATTGCAGGAGCATACTACGCATCATTACTTGACAAGCCGAAGGCAGAACTTGCGGAAAAACGGCCACATTTGCAGAAAAAGAAAATTCTGTTTCACCAAGTCCACGCACCACATCTCACACCCTAGCGGTTGCCATGGCAAAACTCCACGAATCACGGTTTGAAGTGCTTGACCATCCGCCTTAATCACCAGATCTAGCCCCAGGCGACTTCTTTTTGTTCCCTTATCTAAAAATTGCATTTGGAGTACAGAGATTTTCGTCAAATGAAGAGGCAATCACATTCTTGAACAATTATTTTGCCTAGTAGGCCGAGTACTATTTGGACGGGCTACAAAATATACTTAACTATTCTAAGTACCCGTTTTTGTACAACGAAGATTCTATGTACTGCACTAGTACTCGTACAGAAAATAAATCCATAGGTAAGCACTGATCCAAAGTTTGCATAATATAATTTTCACACTTTTTCTGTCATATTTTATTCATCATAGTTGTGGTGTGACCAGACAAAGAATTCATCTAAATCGTTGATTCCCAAAGTGGTCTATATCGACCCCTAGGGGTCTATGACAAACTGAAAGGGGTCTACGTCAGCGAAAAAAATTTGGGGGTCCATGAAATGAATATGGGGGTCCACGATAGTGCATCTCAACACATACACTGATAGTACCTATTTACTTACATCATACTATCTTATAATATCAAAACATATACATTATTTATAAAAGTACCTATGAAGTAAAAAATTTATTATATATGTTTATAAAATTGTGTAAGTTGTAGGATGTTGGTATTCGCTTTGTGGTCGCAATACATTTTGAACTTGTAAAAACCTGAGAGTCGCAGTCTCAGAGCTTCGCTACCTTGCACTGACTTGTTCAATTCGTCACTTTATAAATATACTAAGTGACATATAAATCCGAACACCCAGTTTAAATGTTTTTATTTTAATAAAATTTTGTATAAGTACTTAATGAAGCATGATAAGTAAATAATAAAAATTTCAAAATGATTGCACTGCTTTAAAGCCCTTTGACCTTTAATAATGTGTGGATGCACCCTGATGTGCTACGCATTCTCCAACGCGCCTAGGATGCTTCTGATCAGGTGGTCAATGTCCTCCTGTGGTATCTCATTCCAGGCAACCACCAACTCCTCTCGAAGTGCTTCTAGAGTCTGAGGAGGACGTTGCAAATTGAGCAATCTCCTACCCATCATATCCCACACGTGCTCAATTGGGGATAAGTCGGGAGATCTTGGTGACCATGGTAACAATGTGACATCATTATGTTGAAAGAAGTCTATTGTGACTCTTGCAACATGTGGTCGGGCATTATCTTGTTGGAAAGTTGGATCTGCCAGGGTGTCAAGATAGGGTAAAAGATGGGGTTCTAGAACTTCGTGGATATAACGCTGCGCGTTCATGTTACCTCTGATGAAGATTAAAGGTGACCTGGAACCATAAGCTATAGCACCCCAAACCATAACTCCAACAGTGTGATGAACATGTCTTTCAACAAAAAACTGTGGATTCCTCCTTTCACCACGTCGCCTTCTAACCCTGACACGACCATCGTGCATGCCTAAACAAAATGGAGACTCGTCACTGATCCCAGAGTGACCATTGTCTGCACCACTCAAGGCGATTACGTCGGTGTTCTCGAGTTAAAGGGAGGACCCAGTGTGGCCGGTATGAAAACAAGCCAAAACTTCTCATCGTCGGTAAACACTTCGCATGCCAATAGGTCTTCCGTGTTCTGCAAACCATTCATTTGCAATGGACCTGGTAGTGGAGAAACGGTCCCTTAAGGCCAATAATCTTAGGCGGCGATCTTCACGGTCTGTTGTTCTACGGCGGCGTCCAGTGCACCTTGCTCTTTGCGTACGGCCTTCTCGAAGCCATGCCTGACAACACCTAACCACAGTGTCTACACTTCTTTGCACTCTAACGGCAATTGCCCGAAAAGAAAGTCCAGCTTCCCGAAGTCCCACTATACGGCCCCTATCAAACTCACTAAGTTGACGAAATCGTACAGGTCTCCGTACTCTAGGCATCGTAACCGACCGTAAAGGATGTCAAGAACCAAAATCCGCCAACGTTGATTCTTTACTGCGGCTGAAATATTCATTTTTAGAGCGTTAGTGAATTAAAAAAAAGCAGTATAAAAACCGGAATGTCCAACTGACAAGGCTGAAAATTTTTTCACTTGTTATTTACAGTAAGATAAATACATTCACCAACTTTTATTAAAATAAAACCATTTAAACTGGGTGTTCGGATTTATATGTCACTTAGTATACGAATGTGGGCAAATACGTTTATTCGTTTCCTGAATCTTGAAAAGGAAAGTGCTTAGAAAATATTTTAAAAAATAAACAGCTAGTATATCACACAAATTATAGTGAGTCAGTGTTATTTTGTTTGAGAGTGCTGGAGAAAAGTAAGTACATTATTTTTTATTAAATTTTAGTTTTGTACTCGTAGTTAGCAAAGATAGATATATTACGCCAATCATGACTTTAGTTATTAGTAGTTATATATTCAATCATGCAAAATTACACGAGTACTCCTCAATAGTTTCTTTTTGAACGTTTTAGCAATCGGTAATATAATTACAGTGCAATCTCCGTAATTCGAGCTAATTGTTGCAAGAAGATGTTCGAATTATGGAATGTTTTCGGAAAATCAAAAAATTTTTAATATACAGCTGCTGGAGTTTCTGTCTTATTTAAAAATTTAATTTTGCCCACAGATGACTGATGCCATGTCCGAATCTAAAAAGAAATGTAGACAGTACAGTGTTGATTATTTGAAATTTGGCTTCATTCCATCATTGCCGGACAAACAATCGCCTATGTGCCTTTTATGCAACAAAGTTTTGGGCAATGACGATATGAAACCATCTAAACTGCAAGATCATCTGAGAAGATGCCACCCTGATAAAACAGAGAAAGATTTGAAATGCTTTCAAACACTCAAAGATAAATTTCAGAAGAGACCTACACTGGACAGAATGTTCGCTTCGACGTCACAAAGAAATGATGATGGTTTGCGGGCGTCTTACAATATCTCGTTACTTATAGCAAAATCCGGAAAACCGCATACTATCGGAGAGAAGTTAATTTTGCCAGCCGTTGAAGAGGTTTTAAAAACTGTTTTACACAAACCTGCATCTGATATCATTAAAATAATTCCCTTAAGCAACAATACTGTTGAAAGACGTATTGATGAAATGAGTTCTGATATTGAAAGCTTCTTATGTAATTATTTGCAAACGACCCATTTCTCTATACAACTGGACGAGTCAACTTTACCTGATAATGCAGCATTATTATTGGCATATGTTCGTTTTATTATGAATCAAGAAATCTACGAAGAACTGCTCTTCGCAAGAACTTTGATAACCGACACTAAAGGTGAATCAATATTTCATGTTTTGAAGGATTACTTCATTGAAAAAGCAATTCTTTATCAAATATATATCAGTAGCTACAGATGGAGCACCTGCCATGGTTGGACGTTATCGTGGATTTATAAGCTATTTAAAACAAAATTGTCAGGGGTGTTAGCAATACATTGCGTCATCCATCGACAACATTTAGTTGCTAAAAATGAGTGTTAGATTGCATGAATCACTTCATTTAGTCATTGATGCAGTAAACCGAATCAGAAGCAACGCGTTGAATGCGCGGTTATTTGCGCAGTTGTGTGAAGAAAATGACGAACACTTTCATCAATTACTCCTTCACACTGAAGTACGCTGGGTCGAAAGGCTTATGTTTGACAAGATTTTTTGCACTTTTTGAGACTATTTTAGAATTTCTGGATACTAAAGATAAAATTTTAAAAGAAATTCAATGAAGAGGAAAACAGACCTATTTAACAGATTTGTTTACAAAATTTAATATGGTTAATTTGC